AAGTGATTAGAATAAAGAAAATATTAATTATGGGATAATTAGTTGATCCAATAATATATTCTCCGAACTAACATCATAAGAATTGTAAAGCAGACAGTAAGGAGAATAAATGATACAATTGTAAAGCAGACAGTAAGGAAAATGAATGATAGATTTTGGGAGTGAATAAGTTAAGCTTGTGGTCAAAAATATAAAATAAAGAAAGGTTCTTTTGTTCATCTCATCAGAAAGTACCTCCAACGTTTGAATCATCTCCTTAATGTCAGGATTATCTGCAGACGAAACTGCCACAGATGAAAGCATTGCTTGTGGCAATGGGGTCCAATTCTCAATTGGCGTTGTTTCATTTGGACAACATTTCAGCAGTATGGTCATTTGCTGTAGAACATGGGCTGTGTTCGTAAGAAGATCCATCACTTGAATCTGCAATAAAAAAAAAGAAAGAAAGAAAGAAAGAAAGAAAGAAAGAAAGAAAGAGAGAAAGAAAGAAAGAAAGAAAGAGAACTCATTTAGATATCCTTTCACAAATGGGATGACAAGTGTTAGAGGCTTTGAAATTTCACGTCGTCTCTACGCGTAATGTAAACACACAAAACAACAGAAAAAGCTGCATCCATTTTAAAATACAATATGACTATATTCCATCCTCGTAGAAGTATTCCCAGGAAGACAGGTACACAGGAATATAAGCTGACAAGAACGAAACAAATTTACGATAATCCTCGGAAAAATTTTTTAAGCATGTTGTTATGGCGGCAGTCCGTGAAGCATGTTTTAGGCGTTCAGCTAGCAAAGCGGAAAGAAATAAACGAACAGTGCGATAGTAGCGCGTAGCGGAGCGGAAAATACAGGAAGCACGTTTGGGTCGTTTCGCTTCACGTGATCCGACCCAGACTTCCCTCGTACTGACTGAACACCCGGAAGAGGCTGAGGTGCGTGTCATCTGCGTAGACGAAGACTGAGATGGGTAACGCGAACCAACGCCTTGAAAATCATTATCACAATTGCTTAAAAATGCGTATGGCCGAGTCACGATTGATTTTCGCTTTGCGTCTGATTGGTTGAGATGGTGGCGCGAAGTTTCTAGACCAATCACAGCGAAGTAAAGCAAAACTAAAGTACATCTGGATTATTTCCGTCACAATTAACAATCAGTCTAACAGGCCTTTTGCAGCTGGGGTTACCTGATCAATTTTAGATATATATTATGGGATACAACTTGAAGAATACCAGAGATGGAAAGAGCATATCGAAAATACCAAAACGGCCAAGTTTGGGCCCCGGGAATTACAGAGCACTGTTTTTACAGCGGTTTGAACTTTCGGAAAATTTAGAGGATTTGTATGGAAAGTGTTGCTGGAGAGCAAGGCCTTGCTCTCCAGCAACTTTTTCCATATAAACCTTCTCATTTCTTAAAAAATTCAGAGTGTCATCAAATCTCATTTTTGAATAATGGAGGCCTCAAACTTGGCCATTTTGTTATTTTCGAAAAGCTTTTTCCTTTTCTGAATCCGGCTAAGTTATAGCCCATAATTTCATGAAAAGTAGGTCACGTGATGGCTTAGCTGCAAAAGGCCTATTATGATACACTTACTGTGTGCTCCTCAAGGTCCTTCTGAGGTGGAAGACTTGAGATTCTGTTACTGGTATCTTCATTTGCTAATGTGACAGATTCTCTTAACTGCCTCAAGCCAACACTAAGGTGAAGCAAATGTGAACGTGATACACAGCAAGAAAAAAATATATTTTCATCCTACATTATATACCTAAACCAGGTTATACTTGAACCATCAGAGAAGTAAGGCAAAGTTATGAACAACGTCAAGCGAAACCTGTATTATGCGGACACTACCCCTAGTCCCCAGTTTCCCTTCCACCCATTCATGTGTACAGTATAACGAATCTGTATTCGACAGACTTCTCTGTTACCCGGATTCGAACTACGGAATTCACGCTTCTGTTTCAAGAAACCTGTATTAAGCAGACAGCTTAATTACAGATTTGGGTTTCATTGTTAATGGATCTATCACGATTTTAGATTCGCCACGCAACATTTAAGCGTGATAAAGAAATTGCTGTACATCAAATGGCCATCTTGGAGGCCAGTCCGGCCATATGATTCGTTCATTTGTGCCACATGGTACAAACTGGCTCTGTTCCACGATGCCCCTGTACTAATGTCTCTGAATCAAAAAATGTTACTACAAAGTAACACAACCCATTATTTCTCGACACATGCGAGGCTCGTGACATACCTTAACTTTCAAGTCGTTAGTAAGGAAAATAAGGCGGTGATATTAACAAATATGCAATTGAAACTGTAACAAAGTGAGTGATCAAGACAGGTTACCTTGTGCGTCTAATCTTTCTTGATAACTGTGAGATGACTTGTCTTTGTTCATAACAAACATGAAGCAGATGGTGACTACATCCTTTACAACGATCAACGTCACCAACACTGAGCTCCTAAAGAAACCAACAAAGGAGTAACAAAATAACGGTTTGGTCGCTTGAAAGCAACATCACAGTCAGAGAATAAAAATAAGCTAGGATAAAAACATGGCAACGAGAAAATGTTGCCATGTTCCCACCATACGTTCTTGTGTACTTACGGTGACCTGTCGGAAAGTAACTCGACCGATCTTGTTACAGCCTCTTCTTCAACTGCAGCAACCAACATGGCCTCTTTTCCAGTGGACTGGCGCTCGAGATTGAGTCCCTTGCGATAAGACACGCCTAGAAATGTATATTTAGTTGTAATGAGTGCACAGCCTCGTCTGTGTCAGTGCATTAAATTGCATTACTTTATACCCCCACTGCATTACATTATTTTAAAGAAAGTTGTGAAGCATCTTACTCCACAGTAATTTGATTTTATTAAGTAGACAAAGTCGTTACATATCTAATCATTGTGATGGTCTTTCGTTTCCCTTTGAGTCCACACCAATGAAACTTTCAGGCAGATCAGAACCGAATAACCTCTTCACTAGTCCGTGTACAAAACAAACAAAGAAAAGTAACTGGAAACCAAAAACAAAGGCACTTGTACACCAAGTTAATTTAAATAAACCTTAGTTTAGAAGAAAATTTGTATCATACCAAGTAATGCTAACATCTTGAACAGGTCTGCCAAACTTTTACGTTTCCTTTGCTGAATATGTTTTCGCATCTCTGTTTGTTTCTCTTTCGGCTGAAAAACAGTATAAAATGAGTTACATAAAAAATGCCAAATGTGTAACGGATGAGGTGATAGATTATAAGTAATTTTGTAAAATAAGTAACAACAGGACCAAAAATTCACTGATAATTCGAAGTTTTTCCTATACCTGACTGGACACATCCAAAGCTTGCAGCTCTCTTGAAGTGGTTATGACTTCGCCTGAAAAAGAAAACAAAAAATGGCCATAATGTCAACACCTATATAGACTCGCTTAACCGTTTGGCATAAACTTTTTCTTTTTCAGTCCTGATATACGGAAAAATGAATAGCAAACGCCATATAATTCCTAGTTTTTTCAGCACCGTTGTAACAATAAGCGCTTTGCATTAAAAACATGAAGAACTCCCTCAGCTTCATTGAGGAAACCAATAGAGGAGTAAATCTGGCGTTTCATGGGTTTTGATTCATTCCACTTTGTAATTTATGAAGAAATTCGACCAATCAGATGAAAAACAAAACAAATCATGACTGAGTTAGCCAAATTTCGCGGGGACGATTCATTTGGTTTTGGTTTTAATTTACAACACTGCCTTTAACATGTGCTGGCAATTAAATACTACGGTGATGTATAAAAAAACACTGCTATCACGTTAAGTAAATTCAAGTTAAACTCTCTTTTTCTTCTGGAAGAGTATGCTTGTTTTCATATTCCAATCTCTACTAAGACTCGTACCTGTAAAGTCATCCAGGGACGTCACTAGTGGCTCAAACTCTTGTCGACTGATTATCTGGCGTGACAACTGTCTCATTTTTTTAAAGAGTTTTGTCAGACGATTCTGATTCGATGGAAGACACAATCCCCATTTGTCGTGCGTTGATATAAATTGAAGGCTTCTGTTACAGTATGCCTGAAGAGGAAGCTCAAATTTGAGATAAGAAATTTTTTTTTCTCCCTCTTGTTCCGAGTAATTGCCACAGTCTTTGACCAAAGAAATAGGCAAATGTAAAACACACTATTCTGAACTTAACTAAACCTGAAAACCTTAAAACCGCAGCATGAACATTAACTTTCTCTGCATGATCAATGCTTAGTTCGTTGTAGTGTTTTTGAACGCAAACAAGCCAATTTTGGGCCCCCTTTACCATTTTACAACAGCAGTAACCACAATTCTGTACACAGCAGAATGAAGTGTTGATCAAGATTTTCAAGAAGTATTTCTGGATCCCTCTCTCTCTCTCTCCTCTTAATAATCAGTAAGTTTATTCTCCTTACTGTTCTCTGTACATTCACTAAGGTGCTGACGAGGAGAATTTGTCTAACAATCAAAAAAAAATCAAAGGCTTCTTTAGCTGCCGATCATTTCCTTCATTCTCGCGACTTTAATGTTTGATTCATGGGTGACACTGTATCAAAACGAGAAATTTAAGACTTAAGACTGTTTATTAAGACTGATTGCAGCAATATACAGAATGGCTGAATTACAGAGCTATTTAAAAAACATATAATACTTAAATATAATACAATAAATCTAATAAATACTAAAAGGCATAATTGTACAAGCCACTAGGTATACTTATGCGTAACAAACTCTTGCGCGCACTTGGTCCTACAAGTAGGACCCGTGGAGCGGCTAATGCCAGATCTAAGATTATAATTATGCACAAATTAGATGCTAGTTACTCTTTAAGGGTCAAAGGGTAAAGGGAAATGAATAAAGGGGGGTTAAGTTTCTAAAGAAACTGTGGTGCTGCGTCGGTGGGGGGGGGAGGAGGGGGGTAACAAGGAGATTTGGTAATATCAACTGAGTTGAAATTATAAACTGGCCACTGTAAAGAGTTAAAAAGTTGACGTTTCGAGCGTTAGCCCTTCGTCAGAGCGAAAAGCGAAGGGCTAACGCTCGAAACTTCAGCATTTTAACTCTTTACGGTCGCCAATCTACAATTTCAACTTAGTTGATATTACCAAATTAAAGGGTAAAGGGGTTTCACGTGATACTGTTAGGAACAGACAAGTAATAAACACCAAAACTACCCATCAAAACAAAACTTGATGTTGCAATACAAATACTTGTGACCCCGGGGGGTACTCGATATATTCCTGGGTGGGGAGGTGCGGCGCGGCCCCTCATACCCTGACCCTGTTTAAGACAAATATCGCTGATTTTCCTACCCTGTTTAAGACAGAATTCCGATTTTTGATACCCTGTTTAAGACATTTAATGTGCCTGGTATCAATGCCAAAATCAACGGAATTCAATATTAATTAAAATTAGAGCTTGTAAAAATTTTGCTGTTTATCTTCCAAGAAAAGATATCCTGTTTAAGACAAAAATTGATAAATCGATACCCTGATTAAGACAAAAAATGATAAATTCGATACCCTGTTTAAGACAAAAATCTCGAAAAACATACCCTGGCTGGCCGCACGTCCCCATCAAGCCCTTATAAGGGAGTACCCCCCCCCCGGTTGTGATCATCCTACCTTCAGTGCTTCCGATGATATGAACCAGTCTGCTTCTACAATTTTTCTTTCATTTATGCGATTCCCTTTATTTTCAGGAGGAGAAAGAGCTTTCTCCACATTTATCAAGGTCTTCGAGACTGGCTCATTAAGAGAAGCCTTTGAAAGCGAAATAAAAAGTTCTAGTTTATAAGAAGATTAACAAAGTTAGTTCACAAGTAGTCAAAGATATTAGACTAGGGTAATAATTAATCAAAATTCAAATAAAGCAAAAGTGTACAATGTACAAAGAAATGACAAATAAAAAACAACAACAACAACAAAAACAAAAAATCCAGTGTTGATCCTAAATGCAGCAGGTTAAGGCATCTAGTCTTCCAGATGTGATCAAAACTTGAGCTCTGGCATAGGGACGCTTTGTATAATGTATTTGTCCTATTATTATATTTGCCCACAAGTTAACAGAAATAGATATTCAAGAGAGTAAATATTTCACAGAGAGATAATAGGTTTGAATACACAAATATCGTAGTGGCGTTATCGTGCTTTAGTACCTCGTATCTGCGCACAAATTTGTGCAATGCGTGATGAGACTTGTCAGCCGCTTGTTTCATTGCCCAGAAGTTAGAGTCATTCCACTTGGCAATTTTTACAAAATCCTACAACACAAAATTATTTTTTAACATGGTGACTTTGCAACCCATCTCAAATTTTTTTCACAATAAAACTTCTGACAGAAGGTGCCGTTGCTTCAGTGTCACGAATACCGGGATCCTTAGGGCATTGATAAGTCAACAGCAGAAAGTTCGTATGCATAAAGGGACTCCGAAGTTTGACAGTTCCATTTCCTCTCCTTTAAGATTAATCATTTGCTTGCATCATGACAAAACTGACATAAAGCAGCTCACCTTCAGATCTTTTTCAATAGGTTTCCTCATTTCTAGTAGAGATTGCTCAACAGAAGGAAAAAACTGCTTGTAATAAGAGAACAAGTTCCATAGCACATCTGACACTTTAACTGAAAATAAGGAGTCAGACACATTTCCATGGTTCAAAGCAAAATGATTATTTCATTAATTTTGAAATTAACGTCTTCACATTTATTTAAATTCAGCAATTCTTCAAGTTTGATCGTTTGATGAGGGATGTGCTGAAAATATTAGACCTTTGTGATTGAAATTTTAGCGACAAAGTATTTAAGTCTGTTGCTGGTGCACTCAAACACTCTGTTTGAGCCTTAATCACTCAAGGATTTGCTGAAGTTTGGGGCAGTAACCCCTAAGAGAACAATAACATCAAACGACACCTTTTTCTACTATTAATTACCTCCTCCAGTGCTAGTCTCTTCGTAGCACATTTGCTTGTAAAATGCAAACAACATTTGTAACCTGGAGGCAAACTCTCCAAGTGTTGAGCTTTCGATAAATCTTTGTAGAGGTTCGATTATCTCACTGCCATCAGGAAAACCCTCTATTTCTGAAAAAAGGAAAGATAAGTGACATTTAACAAATGGTAAATACCACAGCGTACATTATTGAGTCAGGCCTGCTATCGAGTTATGGATGCACACGGGAGGTTGCTAAGTACGAAAGAAGCGTAAGAGTCGCGCGAGGCGATAGCCGAGAGCGACTCTTGCTTTTTAAGTGCTTAGCAAACCTCCAAGTGCTTCCATAACTCAATAGTGTACACTGTGGTGTTTACCATTTGTTTTATAACATAACATTGATACATTGTAGCCAAAGAGTTCCCTTTCGAGACCAGAAAAAACAAGCGCGCCTGGAAAACTAGTACACCCATGGACAAACGGTGGACACTGAATTGACCAATCAGAGCGCGCAGTTTACTTTGGTTATGTTATAATTAACAACTATTCACCGAATTGGAGGTGGTTAGTGGTGGCTATTTACCGAGCCGCAAAGCGGCGAGGTAAATATCCACCGCTAACCACCGACACTGAGGTGAATAGTTGTTTTAGTATCTACTAAAACAGTGAGGTAATTTACACCACCGTCGTTAATTTGAGTGATTTCTTCGCTTGTCACGGATGCAAACCGGGACGCCATTTTTTCCCGAGTTTCTCGGAGGTAAATAGCAAAGGATATTCGGAGTTTGACTAACCAATCAGAGCGCGCCTTCAACCTATCCACTGTTTTAGTATATACTAATAAAGAATATAAGTTGACTAAGGCGACCGTAAAATGCAAGTGCTCTCATTGCTCAGCGGATACCTTGGAATGTTTGTTTATCAGACCCAACCCCTTCTCGTGACCACAAGTTTACATGATATCATCACACTCTGACAACAGCCAAGTGCAACACTCCAAGGGTACTGCGTCCCAAGCAACTGTTTATACAATAACAACGAACCAGCACAGTTTACCTCTATGTTCCTGAGCTTTTTCAATCGTCCTCGACTGTACCAAAGAACTATATATGTGAAACCACCATTGACTGGCTTTTGCTGCTGAATTTACGGTGGTTACATCTAGAAGTGTTGACCAGCACCTGGAGCAGAACAAGAGAGAATATATTTAACAGACTAGACTTACATACAATACTTCGCTTTTACCTGATCATAATATACGATTGTGGGGAAAGTATGTTCACCAAAACGTCGGAAAATTAACTGTACGGCACCGAACGTAGTTAAT